CGGGAGGAATCCACCATGCTCCAGAGCCCCACAGAACTAACGCTGAATAAAACCACAAGAGAAAGGCAGGCTTGTGTGTTTCTTCCCCTTTCCCTGTTACTCTGACATGCTTTTTGTTTTAGTTGAATCGAACAGAAGCCAGCATTCAATAGTGAGGAGAAGTGGCCCAAAGTTGTCCTTGTATTCCAGGGCACACAGGCAGGTGGACTCTGGGCCACCACGGCCATCAGTCTACGGCCAATAGCTGATTCCACTGAAGGCATCCACATGGGAAGCTGGTGGTCCTGACTCATGAGATCTCAGTGGTACCATTCTTGAAACTTCCGCAGAAGCAGGACTTCGCCCTCACTTTCACGGGCCCCTTCCTCCATAGAAAGTTCTTTAACATTACATTTTAAGCCGGGCACGGTGGCTCAAGCCTATAATCCGCACTTTGGGAGTCTGAGGCAGGTGGATCACGAGCTCAACAGATCAAGACCATCCTGGTCAACAAGGTGAAACCCTGTCTCTATTAAAAATACAAATATTAGCTGGGCATGGTGGTGCGCGCCTGTAGTCCTAGCTACTTGGGAGGCTGAGGCAGGAGAATTGCCTGAACCCAGGAGGCGGAGGTTGTGGTGAGCCGAGATCATGCCATTGCACTCCAGCCTGGGTAACAAGAGCGAAACTCTGTCTCAAAAAAAAAAAAAAAAAAATTCTGATGTTGGCTGGGTGTGGTGGCTTACGCCTGTAATCCTAGGACTTTGGGAGGCCAAGGCGGGTGGATCACCTGAGGTCAGGAGTTTGATACCAACCTGGCCAACATGGCAATGTCTCTACTACAAATACAAAAATTAGCCGGGCAGGGTGGCACATGCCTGTAGTCCCAGCTACTTGGGAGGCTGAGGCAGGAGAATTGCTTGAACCCAAGAGGCAGAGGTTGCAGAAAGCAGAGATTGAGCCACTGCACTCTAGCCTGGGCGACGGAGCAAGATTCTATCTAAATAATAAATCAATATATTTTTTAAATTAAATAACATAGTCTGTTTTTTGAGACAGGGTCATGCCCTGTCACCCAGGCTAGAGTGCAGTGGCATGATTTTGGCTCCCTGCAACCTCCACCTCTTGGGCTCAAGGGATCCTCTCACCTCAGCCTCCCAAGTAGCCAGGACTACAGGTGTGCACCACCATGCCCAGCTAATTTTTGTATTTTTTTTTTTAGAGATGGGGGTCTCCTCATGCTGCCCAGACTGGTCTTGAACTCCTAAGCTCAAGCAATCGATCCACCTCGGTGTCCCAAAGTGCTGGGATTAAAGGTATGAGCTACCTCACCCAGCGAGTTTCTTCTGATTTTAAAGTAAATTATATATATACACAAGGGAATATTATTCAGTGTTTTGGAGGCCAGGCACTGTGGAGCACACCTATAATCTCAGCACTTTGGGAGGCTGAGGTGGGTGGATCATGAGGTCAGGGGTTTGACACCAGCCTGGCCAAGATGGTCAAACTCGTCTCTACCAAAAATACAAAAATTAGCTGGACATGGTGGCATGCATCTATAATCCCAGAAAATTGATTGAATCCAGTAGGCAGAGGTTTCAGTGAGCTGAGATTACACCACTGCACTCCAGCCTAGGCGACAGAGCAAGACTCCGTTTCAAAAAAAAAAAAAAAAAAAATTCCCTGGAGATATTGGCTTAAGGAAAAAGGATGGAAATTCTGACTCCTGCGACAGTCTGGTGAACCTTGAGGATGTTGTGCTAAGTGAAGTAAGCCAGTCAGAAAGGACAAATTCTGTGTGATTGCACTTAGATGAAGTCCCTAGAAGAGTCAAATTCATAAGACAGAAGGTAGAATGGAGGCTATCAGGGAGGGAGCTGGTGTTTAATAAAGACAGAGTTTCAGTTTGGAAAGATGAAAAAGTTGCAGCAATGGACAGTGGTGACGGCCCCACTACAACATGAATGTGTGTAATGGCACTGAGCAGAGCACTTAAAAATGGTGAAAATGGTAAGTTTTGTGTTATATGTATTTTACCACAATTTTTTAAATAAACGATTTTTTTTTTTATTAGAACATTTTCATGGGCCCTGCACAGAGCCTCCTTGGCCTCATGGAGAGCCGCCCCACCCGCACCACCCCCCCCCCCGTCCCCGAGGGGCACAGGGTTTGTGCCACACATGCCCTTTATCAACCAACCACTCCCACAGCTACACCCACAGGATTTCTCCCAGTCTGTGTCTGTCTGAGCCCAGAAAAAGAGGAAATACTGAGGTCGAGCTGGAGCTTCACCCAGCGATTATAAATAATCGCCAGTGTTCCAACCCAGCTCCCATCCTCTCAAGGCCACGGTCTCCATCAGAGGTCTAGGTCTTCGGGCCCCTTCCACCGACCCGGGGTATTTCTTGGGGCTTTTGTGTCCTCAATTAGCAATCCGGGGAAAGCACGTTAATGTCTGGACTCTGTTAAGAAGCGACATTTATCAGCCAGGCGAACATTTTTTTCAGTGAACCTCAGTTTAGGGGAAGCAGTTCCTGGCGGGGCTGTGGTTCCAGGCTCTCTCCTTCCCAGGACTCTGACTCCTAAGGGAAGCAGGCTGGGCTGCCTGGGAACGTTGGCCTGTAATATCAGTTTCCTTCTTATTGGTCCTTTGATAGCAGAACAAGAGGCTCTGTGATCCTCTGGACCTCAGATTTCCTTTCAAACTCTCATATAAAAAGATATGTGTGTGCTGCTCGTGTGGACTTCCCGCTGGGAGTGGAAGGGCCGCGAGCACTGGCCTGCTTCTGGGACAATGGCCCGCACCCCGAGGCCTGTTCCGTGCTCAGGGCGCAGGGGCTCCCAGGTTCAAAGTCCCCTGGAGCCGGTTGTTTCTGGCTGGGAAAGCAGCAGCCCGGCGGCCGTGGGGAGGGGGAGGGGACGGGGTGTGCAGGAGGCGGGGTGTGCGGGGCTTTCCCGTCCACCTCTCACTGCAGCGAGACCCCCGCTCTGCCCGCGTCCGGACCTCCTTCCCCCTGCGGGAGAGGCGCGGAGAGGCTGCCGGGCCGGCCAGGGGGAGCCCGCCCCCTAGGGGAGGGCGTGGCCAGTGCAAGCTCCTCTGCGCCCCTGCCCGGGCCCCTCCTGGGCACCCGGGACTGGCAGGCAAGGAGCCGACGGAGAGCCCGGGAGGGCAGGGAGGGGTCCGGGGAGGATGGGGGGAAGGTCCTCAGGGACCATCCCCAAGATCATTTCAAGAAACGGCCTTCTGGAAGAAGCTGGGGAGGGGGACTTCTAGGGCACACCCTGATATCTTCCCGGAGGTGGGGGCGAGGGGACACCAGAACGTTTCTACCAGGATTCGGGAGGGCGGGGAGCCCAGATGGACTGGGGTGACCGCCTCCCAGGACCTGGTTATCGGGGCTGGGGGTGGGTTGGGGGCTGGACAGGTAGGGATGAAGTCTCACTGAGACTGGACTCGGCTCCGGAAGTGTCCAAAGCCTGGGCCCCACGCAGACAATATGGAATTTTGGAGGTGCCCGAAGTGTTACCACCCGCCTTGCAGTGCAGGGCAAGCCGCGGTCTGGTGGGCCCTCCCGGCCGCCATCCCACGGCCACAGGATCCCTGAGCCCCTCTCCGTTCGCCCCTCAGTCCCGCAGAGGCACGGGGGCCCCCCCAGGTGTCCGGGGGGGGGGGATTCACCGCACTCCCGCCCTTGGGCATCGATCGGCTGGCGGGCGACGCGCGGCCACGGCTTCGGAACCTCCGCCCCCTCCCCCGCTCGGGCTACGCAGACGCGGCCTCCGAGCAGCGTCCTCGCGGTTCCGGGCCGCGGCCAGGCCCGGCTCCAGGCCAGCGGGGGAGGCGGAGACGCGCCGGGCCCTTCCGATCGGGCCGCCCCTCTAGAGAGGGAACTAGAGCGAGTCCAGCTTTCCAGCCAGCGACGCTCGGCGCCCCCTTTTCTCGTCCCCCTCCCAAGCCAAATACCCCCCCCTCGGGCGCGCGCTTAACCCTCGGCGCGCTGCGAGGCTGGGAGCTGGGAGGGGTAGCCGGGGGGAGGGGTGGGGGAGCAAGCTGGAGGGGCAGTTGCGCTTCGGCTGACGACCACTTCGGGGTCCGCCTAGCGATTTGTACTTCATTCCCTGGCTCGCTGCAGCAGCTCTTGGTTGGAAAAAGGAAGAAAGAAATCTGCAGTGTGTGTGGGCCCCGCTGGGTTCGGGGGGCGCGACGGGGACACCCGAGAGGGAAACACAGGGGCGGGCGTGCAGAGGGGTGAACCTCAGCCGCACAGGAGAGCCGCGGGCCGACCTTGAGAAACGAAACCCAAATAAAAACACACAGTGCGCCCAGGCCGTTGTGAACGCGGTGGCGGCGGCGGCGGCGGGCGGTAGAAGCGGTTCCAAAGATCATATTTGAAATATGGATCCCGGGGGCGCAGATCTCCAGGCCGGCCGGGCCTCGTGGCTGAGTGCGGGGCGGGGGCCGGGTGGCCTTCTCGGGGCGGGTCTGCGGTGGCCGCCCTGACGCCGGGGGGCACGGACGTCGTAGCAAACAGCGCGTGCCGCTTCGGCGCCCGCGACCCCATCGTGCCGCAATGCGGAGACGCGGCCCTGCGGGCGGTGGTGTGGCCCCGAGGAATGCCTGGACCCTGCCCAAGGGCCGTGGTGTCGCGGTGCTCCGGGCCTGCTTCCCCGCCCGCGCACCCTGTGGGGCCAGTGCCAGGAACCCCCGGCTGCCGAGCCACACGGCCCGCCGGGGTGGAACTTGGGGGCGTCGGAGGCTTCGCCGCCCAAATGAAAGCCGATCTTTCCCGGGCGGTGTGGCCAAGAGCAGAAATACTGGAGTGGGGACCCGTAGGGCGGAGGGGCGCCCTGAGAAACAAATCACCCCTCCAGGAGGGTGGAGGGGTGGAGTGCGGGGCCCCCGCCCTGCCTCCCCCTCCACGCACAATCCCACCAGTTCCGCCGCCCCTAAATCACCGCACCAAGGACTATATGATTGAAGCCGGCGCCAAGTTTCTCTAAGGACAAGGGAGAGAAATGAGTGCTTTTGATAAAGTCTGGGTAGATTTTGTAGTGGTTACTAGTAAATCCCCCCTGGGTGATCTGCAGTCCACCTCTGAGGGCCGAAAACGACAACAACTCAAGAGCTTTCCGAGTCGGGGACCTGCCCGGGAAGCCACAGGCAGCCCCCTCAGGGCAGAGCCCAAATGTGGGTTCCGTGGGCGGGCGGTGGCCATCTCCTTGCTCAGAGCACCGGCTCAGGGAGAGGATTCCTTTAAGAAGTCGTTTATTTCCCCAGGATGGCGCGGATCATGCTTCTTCCCAGACCGGACTCTCAGTAATCACCCTTCAGTCCACGGCTGTTAAAAGGTTCCCGACCTCTCCAGGGTCCACTCCTTCAGCCTTGTCCCCTCCAGGAACGAGCCTGTGGCTGAGCTAGATAGCAGCTCTCCTCTCCTGGGGCCCCTGAGGGCCCCGGGGGCCCAAACAGAGGTGGCATCTGGAAGGCTTCAGTCAGGCAGCAGGACCAAGGGCTCAAGCAGCTCCTGTCTGGGAGGGGACAGTATCAAATGAGCAGGCCAGCGGCCGTTCTCGGCGGCCGGTGGGGCTCTTGTTGTCCGAGGTCGGGAACAGGAGCCCGAGCAGAAGGCTCAGGGAATCCCGGATTTAGGGCTAGTGTCTCCTGCCGCTCCCTTGGAGGGGCCAAGACAGCGGGGTGGGACGGCATGGGGCAGCTCCGTGGGAGGTTTCCTAGGAAGGGCTCTCTGGGGCATCAGGGGAGCTTCCAGGGGCTCCCACTGTACCTTCCCAGGATTCTGTCCCACCTCCTGGCGTCCATTCGCTCTTCCACGGACCCGAGCTCCTCCCCACACCCGCTGGTAGGGGTGCTCTAGGGACCAGCCACAGATGTCAGGTAGGGCCCTCTCTCCCCATCTGCCTACCATCCACGAAGACGAAATAAACAACCACGGAAGGGAAGTCAATTGCTGGTGCTTGTGAATTTCACTTTCAAAGTCGTCGGAAAAAGGCCAGGAGCGGCGGTGGCCGGGGTCCCCCTGGGCTTCTGAAGTGCTTGGGCGGCCCCTCCGGGAGTCCTGGGGAGCCAGAAAACGCTTCAGGCCGCGGCACAGGCAGCTCCAGAAAAGATCCGCTGCACGGACCCCCCACTTCCTCCCCAGCTCGGCGGCTGGCCCAGCCTGGCTCCAGCGCAAACTCGTAGTGGGGGCACCGGGTCCTGCCGTGTGGTCCCGAGGTCCTGAGCGTGGGCCCCTGATGGCCCTGGGCTCAGGGAGCGAAGCGGAGTCCGACGCCCCTGGCGGCAGGGAGGCTGCAGCCGCCGCTCGGCCTCCCCCCGCGCCCCCGACCTGGACGCCGCGGAAACACCCACTGCAAACAGATTTCCCAGGGGATTTTCAAGAGGGGGAGGGTGGAGTGTCGGGAAGCTCAGCCCCTTCCCGGACAAGGGGACTGGCCGGGACAAAGTTGCTGCAGACCTCCCGATGGACGACGGCGCAACCGGCTTGTGCCTCTGGGTCGGCGTAGACCGGCGACTGCCGCCTACAGTGCTTCCCGCGCCAGCCTCGCGACCCCTCTTCTTCCGCGGTGGAGCCCCGCGCGACAGTTCTTCGCCTTGGGCAAGAATGCCGGGGAAAAGCCAAACACGGCAATAGAAAAATCTTTTCCTGTGCGCCCACCCAGCTTCTATAAACCCGAAGAGCCGTCCTCCGCCCCCACCGCACCTAGTCAGGGAAAACAGGCAGGCGTCGTTCCACCTGGCTTGCCTCCCACCCGCACCCCAACACTCAGGGAATCCCAGGTTTGCGCCTGAAGCTCGTTAGAGGTCAGTCGCAAACCGAAGACCTCTGCAGCCACCAGAAGACAACCCTCAACCCAGCATCCCTCGGGGAGGGGCCACGTGGGTCTCCGTGGGCGGCAGCCTCCAGGCAGTAGCAGCCTCCGTGGTGCAAGAGCTGCCAGGTGGTAATGAAATGGAGTCAACGTGTGCGTTCACCACCAGACTGTCTTCAGGCTTCCCAGGGATTCCTGGATGAACACGAGCCCCACGCAGGCTGGTCCCTCCCCTGCTCGCCCGAGCCCCCGCGCGGTCCCCCACTGACAGTCGGGTCGTGTGTCAGGGCGGTGGTGGAGACCCGGATGGCTCTTTGCCCGCCCCCATCGCTCGTTCCACTCTCGCTCGGCTTTTGCTCTTTTTCTTTCTCCGTGGACGCTCAGCCAAGGGATTGCGCAAGCTTCCCGCTCGCTGTCCTTCAAGAGCCGGGAGCCGGGGCCCAGACACACCCCAGGCCAGGCGCGCTCCTGCCCCTACCCCTCAGGCCGCCCTGTCCCCGCCAGGTCCCCCACCCCTGACCCCACGGAGCTCGGGGGCCCTCGGCTGCGCCCTCGGCAGGCCGCATGGGGCGCAGCAGCTCCACCAGCCGGACGCAGGAGCCGCGCGCCGGAACGCGCCGTCTCGCCGCCGGAGGTGCCAAACTTCACACTCGCGGCTGCTCAGGCCGCATCCCTCTGGAGGGCCTTGGCTTGGCCGCCTGTGAAGGACGAGGGTCCGCGGACACATGGCAAATGCGAGGCTCCTCGGCCATTCCGTCCATCTCCCCTTCGCGCTGCCCGTTCTTCCCCTGGTCGGCCTCAATCTCTTCCCGCCCTCCCAGCTCCTTATTTCCAGGCCCTTCCCGGGACCCCACGAAGTCCCCTCAGGCCCCCAAGCGGACCCGGGCCTCCCGCGCCTGCTCTCTCTGCTTCCCGCGCCTGCTCTTTCTGCCTCCCGCGCCTGCTCTCTTTGCCTCCCGCGCCTCTCGCCCAGCTTGGCTCTGGAGGCTGCTAGAAACTGGACATGTCGTCCCGCCAAAAAGAGGACCCAGCGTAAATTCGGAGCCGTTGAGGATGGGGTGGGATCGGATTCGGAGTCCTTTCTACTGAGGTTCTTGGGCGCCAGGCCCCGGGGCTGGCCGGTCGTCCGTCCCCTTCCTCGTGCGTTCTTCGAGCTCTCCTTGGCACCCACCCAGTCCAGCCTCTTCCCCGCCCTGTCCCTTTCCCTCCTCGCGCTCCTAAATGCCCGGCGCCAAGAGGCGAGGTGGGGCCCCGCAGTGGGGCGCGAGCTGCCCCTGCCCCATTCCGCCCCCTGCCGGCTGGGCCCGCGCGTCCCGGGCCGCCGGTGACGCAATTCGGTGCCATTGGGAGCGACGGCGGACGCCTGGTGGCCCCCAACAGGGGTCCCGGGGCCGTGAACACTGAGAACCGGCCGCGAGGGGGAGGCCCGGGCACCGGGCTGCGGGCGGAGGGTCGCCGCCGAGACCCTGCCGGGCTGTCAAGCTCTCCGCCCCGGCCGGCACACCTCTCCTTCCCGGTCTCGCTCCCTGTCTGCAGCCTCCCTCTCCCAGGCTCGCCGATCCCTCCCCCTGCACCTCCCCGGCGCCCTCCCCTCCGCGTCCCCCACCCGCGCCCTTTCCTCCTCCCCCCGCCGCCCAGGCCCGGGGCCTCCGGTAGGCCCGGCTGCGCCAATCCGCGCTGCGGCCCGCCCCCTGACGCCGCGCTGGGCCCGGCGAGGCCCCGCCCGCTGACGTCCGGGATTTGCATGAGTTCTTGTGCTGCCGCGGCCGGGGCTCAGTTGTCTGAGCGAGCGCGAGCCGGGAGCCCGGGCGGGCGCGGGCAGCGGCGGGCCGGCGGGGTGGTGCGGGGCGAGCAGCGGCGGCGGCGGGGGCGCTTCGGCCGCGACGGCCGCGGGGCGCCGGCGGGAGCTAGCAGCGTCTGCAGCCGCGCCGGCCGCCCGCGCCCCGGTGCGCTCCGGCTCGGCCATGGAGCTGCCAGCTGTTGGCGAGCACGTCTTCGCGGTGGAGAGCATCGAGAAGAAGCGGATCCGCAAGGTAGGGCGGCTCGGGGGCGGCGAGCGGCGGCCGGAGCAGCCCGCGAGCAGACGAGGAGGGGGTGGGGAGGCTGCGGGCCGGGCCGGGGATCCCGCGGAAGCTGATGGAGTGCTGTCTCTTCCCCCCAGGGCAGAGTGGAGTATCTGGTGAAATGGAGAGGCTGGTCGCCCAAGTAAGTCGCGGCGGAGGGCGGGGGCCCGGGGGCCCGGGGGCCGTGGCGCGGGGCTCGGGGCCGCGGACCCGCCGAGCTGCTGGGGGGGGTGGGGGGAGAGGACGGGAGGCGGGGTGGAGTGGGGTGGAGGGAGGAGGGGGTGGGGAAGTCGGTGGCAGGCACTGGGGAAGCCGAGCTGCCGAGCCCGAGCCCGGCGCCCTGTGTTGTGCTCCGCTCTCCGGGAAATGCCATCACTAATTTATGCACTAAAAGGAGCCGGAGGAGCTGGAGAGACGCGGGGCCGAGCCGGGGAGGCCGGCGGAGGGAGGGAGGGCGAAGGCACTGACTGATGTGCAGCAGAAAATGGCTCCTTTCCCCTTTCCCTCCACCGAACGGCTCCATATTGCAAAACCAAAAAAAAAAAAAAAATTAGAAAGCGACGAAAATGCAATTGTGTGCCTCCTCCCTCCTAGTGGTGCAGGGAGGGGAAGAAGAAAGGCGGAAAATGTTGGGAACTGTCACTGCGGCGCTTTTGGTGGAGAATTTTTTTTCTTTAATTTGAAATGCGAAGGCACCGGATGGAGATAGACGCGCAGGCACACGCACACTCACACACACACACGGAGGCATATTTTTGTGTTGCTGAGTATTTGGGGTTTGCTTGCCCGTGACAGCGGGCTCCTGGGCCACGAGGGGTTGTGGGGGGGGCACTCGGCTTCGGGTTATCGGATTAGGGGTCAAATGGAGAACGGCTGAAGCCCTTGCGGGGACTTGGGGCTGGGGAGAGGAGGGGGACTGCGACTTTGCATTTCGGTTGCTTTGCACGCAGGGTTCCTGGGGAGCAAAGTGGCTTTGGAACATGTCGCAGTAACATGCTTAAAATTCTTGACAACTGCAAAATAAACTGCTAGTTTCATTTTCCTTCCCCCTCCCCTTTCTTCCTGCCCTTGCGTGTTTATTTGAGCGGGGGCAGCGTGTCAGGGACTGTGTCAGGCCTGCAGAAATCTACCCTCCACATTCACAGATAAATGTTCATGAAGACGGAGTAGGGCCTTATGTTACTCCCTACCTAGAGGCCGAGGCAAAGCTGAAAGCTGGCCTTTTTTTTTTTTTACCTTGTCCCCCTCCCTTTTCCCTTGCAAGATATAACACGTGGGAACCAGAGGAGAACATCCTGGACCCCAGGCTGCTGATCGCCTTCCAGAACAGGTGAGCGTCCCCCACGCAGCCACCGCTCGCCACCCGTGACCGTATATGGGAATGACAAAGTGGGCGACGATGTAGGAGGAAATGGGCAGGAAGGGGGGCTGGTGGGAGCTCCCACGCAACCGGCCTGGACGGGCATGGCTGGGGCCCCAGCTCCTCTGACCAGCGTCCTTGGCGGTTGCTGCAGCTTGGGGTGGGGGTGGGGCAGGGCCAGGGAAGGCCAGCTTTGGGTTTTGGGGGAATTTTGGGAAGGGTGTGTGGGTGGCCCTGCAGCTGCCCGGAGAACTTGTGGCTGTGCCTGGTTCCCCAGGGGCCCCTCCTGTTGCAACCTGGAGCCCCACCCTGGAGCCTAGGTGTTGCTGTCCTGCAGCCACTGGCCCTTGGCACCGGTGCTGCTTCTCGGTGCAGCTCTGAGAGAGCTGGCATTGTGAAACCGCCTGGACGTCATGGAACTGAACTTAACCTGTTGGCGACTGGAGGAAAGTTGACATGGCCTTCGAGTCTGCACCCGCATCCTCCGGAAGCTTAACCTTGGTCCGGAGTAGATTCCATAGGGTGCTGGGTTGCCCCCCCCCCCCCCCCGCCAACTGGGCTGCTTGGCAGGGCAGGGCCACCCACTCTCAAGGCAGAGGGGGCTTGGCCCAAGGGCCGGGATGGTTGCTGCCTGGTGGTGGAGGGGTGGCTGCTTCTGGGGAGCTCGTCCTCGTTCGCACGGTTGCTTGTCACGCTGCAGCTGCTGCAGCTGGGTTTGGGCGCCCGTGGCTGTGGTTCTCTGTTTCGGAGAGGATAGAAGGGGGAAGGGCGAGGAGGGGAAGAGCAGCCGGAACCCTTGGAGCTCGGCCACCCCACTGCCTTCCATCTCTCCTCCCCTTTTTATTTTGCATTATTTCCTGTGGCTCGTTTGGCGCTAAAATATAAACTGTAGACCCTCTGAGCTAGCTACCGGCCGGGCGGGGAAGCTGCCCTCCTGAAATGCAGGAGGGCACGTAGGGGGATCCTGCCCCCCCCAACCTGGGAGTTCACCACCCCGTAACCATGTCAGCGGCTGATGCCACGTTACATAATGGGTCCCTGAAGAATTAAAGTGCAGGCTGTTGCAATGCCACGCAACTTCAGAGTCAGGCCCTGGCCCCCGCCCTGGGGCACCTCAGAACTCTCCGGGGTTAGTCCGAGGGGGCTTGGGAGTGGTGACTAGGGTCTGTGAAGAACTTGCTTCTGGCCCAAGAATGGGCTACAACTTTGGCAAACGCTAGAGAGGCATCCCACTCTCCTGTGGAGGCCTGGGTAGTGCCCGGAAAGTCCGGGCCCTAGCTACGGATCATCCTTAGATGGTCTGCAGGCAGGAGGTGGATGTAGTGACCGGTGCCTCCGCCCCCGGGGTTTATTCATAATTTGGAGGCGGTGCTTCTCCAAGCTGCTTTGGCCCCGCCCACCTGCTCAGCTGGGAGGAGCCCAGCGTTTACCAGGTGGCTAGAAACCTGGCCAGACTCTGGCCTTGGTGGCCCGCCCCCGCCCCCAGCCTCTAATTGGCTCATTTGCCGCTGTGTAAACAAGGGCACAGCCCCTCCCCCTGTTTAGTGCCTGGCCTTTAAGAAAAAGAGTCCTCCCTTCTGCTGGAGGCACTCGTTATCGGAATCTTAATGAGGTCATTAGCATCCCGCGCTTCTGCCGGGAGGGATGAGGTCGGTGCACACCTCGGTTGGGCGGGTTTGTCATCCCTGGACCCCCGCGTCCACTCCGAGTCGCCCAGAGCCACGGGCCCAAGGCTGTGGGCACAAGTGCCAGAGGTGCAGCCCTGAGCTTCTGCCTCCTGAGCACAGAGGTAGGGCTTGGGGAGTGCCGGTTCAGGTGTGGGCATCAAAGTGGAAGAGCCCTTTGCCCAGGACCTCTTGGGCAGAGGAGGGTTGGTGCGAGGGTGGAGGGCACTGGGGCTTGACTCTCCCTGAGCTCTTGATTCCTCTGTGTCCCTCCAGCCCTACCTGGTGCTCTTTGAAGGTGTTGGGGGGTGGCATCATCACAGAAGATTCTGGGATTAGCGGGAGGGGGCGACCCTGAGGCTAACAGCACTGCCCTCTGTACCCTCCCACCAGGGAACGGCAAGAGCAGCTGATGGGGTATCGGAAGAGAGGGCCAAAGCCCAAACCGCTGGTGGTGCAGGTGAATACACGCGGCCGCCCCCGGGCACCCCCTTGACGTGGCCACCAGAGCTGCCTTCAGGCCTGGGGTTGGGGGGTTCCTCCCAGCACCCCAAACCTGCTTCCTGTCTACTAGACCTCCCACCTCCGGCTTTCCCCGAGGCAGCTGCGGATCTGGTGGGGGCTGGGACACTCTAGAAACTCCCGGCATGCTATGGGGCCACCTTCTCCCTCTTCTCACCTCTGCACCCATTCCCTCAGGTGCCTACCTTTGCCCGTCGTTCCAATGTCCTGACCGGACTCCAGGACTCCTCCACTGACAACCGTGCCAAGCTGGATCTGGGCACGCAGGGCAAGGGCCAGGGGCATCAGTACGAGCTCAACAGCAAGAAGCACCACCAGTACCAGCCGCACAGCAAGGAGCGGGCGGGTAAGCCCCCGCCGCCGGGCAAGAGCGGCAAGTACTATTACCAGCTCAACAGCAAGAAGCATCACCCCTACCAGCCCGACCCCAAGATGTACGACCTGCAGTACCAGGGCGGCCACAAGGAGGCGCCCAGCCCCACCTGCCCGGACCTGGGGGCCAAGACCCACCCTCCCGACAAGTGGGCGCAAGGCGCAGGGGCCAAGGGCTACCTGGGGGCGGTGAAGCCCCTGGCTAGCGCGGGGGGTGCTCCAGGCAAAGTCTCCGAGAAGGGCCCCCCCAACGGAATGATGCCGGCCCCCAAGGAGGCTGTGACGGGCAACGGGATCGGGGGCAAGATGAAGATCGTCAAGAACAAGAACAAGAACGGGCGCATAGTGATCGTGATGAGCAAATACATGGAGAACGGCATGCAGGCGGTAAAGATCAAGTCCGGCGAGGTGGCGGAGGGGGAGGCTCGCTCCCCCAGCCACAAGAAGCGGGCAGCCGAGGAGCGCCACCCCCCTGCCGACAGGACTTTTAAAAAGGCTGCGGGTGCAGAGGAGAAGAAGGTGGAGGCGACGCCCAAGAGGAGGGAGGAGGAGGTGTTGGGGGCCAGCGATCCGCAGCCCCAGGATGCCGGCTCCCGCAAGCTGTCCCCAACCAAGGAGGCCTTTGGAGAGCAGCCCCTGCAGCTCACCACCAAGCCCGACCTGTTGGCCTGGGACCCGGCCCGGAGCACGCACCCACCCTCCCACCACCCGCACTCGCATCCCCATCCCCACCACCACCACCACAACCACGCAGTCGGCCTGAATCTCTCCCACGTGCGCAAGCGCTGCCTTTCCGAGACCCACGGCGAACGCGAGCCCTGCAAGAAGCGTCTGACGGCGCGCAGCATCAGCACCCCCACCTGCCTGGGGGGCAGCCCGGCCGCCGAGCGCCCTGCCGACGTGCCACCGGCCGCCGCCCTCCCGCAGCCCGAGGTCATCCTACTGGACTCGGACCTGGATGAGCCTATAGACTTGCGCTGCGTCAAGACGCGCAGCGAGGCTGGGGAACCGCCCAACTCCCTCCAGGTGAAGCCCGAGGCGCCCGCGACAGCGGCTGCGGTGGCAGCAGCGCCCGCCACGGCGGCGGAGAAACCTCCAGCCGAGGCCCAGGACGAACCAGCCGAGTCGCTGAGCGAGTTCAAGCCCTTCTTTGGGAATATAATTATCACCGACGTCACTGCGAACTGCCTCACCGTTACTTTCAAGGAGTATGTGATGGTGTAGCTGGAGGGCGCCGGAAGGGGAAGCGTTATTCCCTCCAGGTGGGGGCTGAGCACTTGGGGCCTCGGGGCGCGCTCCCCTCTCGCCAAACGAGAGAGATCCGGGCTGGCCCCCAGGGCGAGAACAAGAGGTAACCACGTACCGCCCCCCACGGCTGCTGGGAGGCCCCTTCCACGTGGTGCCGGCGGGGTTCGCCCTCTCCTGCCCTTCCCCACTGGAGACGGACCCCCGGAACGGACAGGGCAGCCCTGCGCCTCGGTCTCAGAGTTCTAGTATTATATTTTAACCGTGCTAACTTGTCAAGTGCTGACTCTACTCCCGTTTGTACGTGGTGTTATTATTGAAATGTATTGTTTGAGCTCAAAAGGCCCGATCACCCCCCTTCGGGCTGCTATATATATATTTATTTGTAGGTATTTATATATTGAAATATAAAAACCTAGATTTATGGAGTTTCCTCTAGATCATGTTATATTCTATATCAGACAAACTATTTTCTTTTGACTTTTCTTCCCCTCCATCCAGTATTTCGGTTGATTTCATTTCCTCCCTCTCCTCCCTTCCAGGAACTGCAATACCAGTAACCTTGGTATATATTTTTTGATACTGTACACATGGATGTGTTGTTTCTATGTGCAAAAAAAAAAGTTTGTTAAAAGGCTACTCGAGCTCTCTAGAAACTGCTGCTACTAGAAATGTCTAAACTATAAGCTTCCAACTATTACCTGCTTGAATGTAAATATTAAATGGAGATGTTGAAGGTGCATTTTTACTGCTTGAGATGAGCGCAGAAGGAACGTCGGAGGCAAGAAGGGGCCAGACCCCTCTCACCACCAACTCCGCCTTTGCGCCGGGTGCTGAACCTTTGCACCAGCGACGTGGGCCGGTTTCGCGGGCCGCGCGCCGGCGCGGGAGGGTGACCCCGCTCCCTGAGAAGTCTAGAGGCGCCCGGCTGGAAAGGGGAATTCCTACGGGGGGGGTGTGGGAGCCGTCCCCGCCCCCAAGGCTTTCCGGCCGGCGGTGCCCGTGGCACTGGCAAACCCTGGGTTCTGGGTAGGGGAGGAGGGAGTGCCGGGGTGGGCGGCACGGACACGCGGGTGGGGCTACTCTCCCTCTCGGCACCCACCCGGCAGCGGCTGAACCTTGGCTATCCTCACGCCCAGCCCCCACCCCTGGGGCTCCACACACCCAGACGCAGGCCCTGGCGAGGCAGGGAAGTTCCTTTCTAATAATCCCGCCCGGTAGGGCAGGTTCGGCGGGGCGGGGACCCCCAGCCTCTCTCCAGCGTCCCTGCCTGGCATCGTCGGCCCCTCCCCGCCGAGGAAGCCGCGGAGGCCCTGGCTCTTCGGGCTCTCTCCCCGGAAACCATGAGGCCAGAGGTTCCCACTAGAGGCGCGGCGATCGCGGCCCGGGTGGAGGGCGGGGGGCTTCCTGCGAGATGGATGGGGACCGGGAGAAGGACGGGCGACCGAGGCCTGCCACCCCCACTCCCTTAGCGAGGAGAGCTGGGACTCCTCACCCTTCTCCCTTGGGGTGGCTAGGCGAGGGCCCTTGGTGTGGCGGGGGAGGAAAGGGTTAAGGGCCCAGAGGGGCGCCGGGACTGGGCCGAACTCCGGGGTGCGGCTCGGCGGGCCAGGAAGCCGCGACCCGGGAGTGCGGCGGCCGTGGCCAGGTTTCTGCAGACGCAGCGATCTTCCTCCGGGCCGAGGTGGCCGAGCAGGGCCAGGGGCCGCGGCGCTGGGGCTGCTCCCGGCCTCGGAAGCCCTTCCCCTGCCCGCCTGGACCAAGGGGCCCGGTCCTGTGCGGGGCGCCAGGGCGGAAGAGGTCAACGTGGTTCAGAGTGGGGGGGTGGTGGTGAGAGAGCCAGTGTGGGGAAGGCTGGGGAGATGGGGCCAGGAGGGCGGGGAGGCCTGAAAGCGGACAGTGTGGCCAGTGTTGGCTGCAGGCCACCAGCGGCTGGAGGTGGGGGAGGGGAGCCCAGCGGGGAGGGGAGGGGGAAGGGAAGTTCTTTAAAAAAAAAAAAAGCCGTTGGGAGTTTCTAGCCCTGGCTTTTGTGAGTGGTTCCCCCCTACCCCCCACCTCACCCCCACCCCCACCCCTCCCCCCGCCATCACCCCAGCCCTATTTAGAGTGAGTTACACACTCCTCCCCCTCCACGGAATGAATGCCCTTTGCCACCCTGGGAGTGGAAGGAGGGTGATCTCGCTTCTGGCAAACTGCCTGCTGGGCACGAGAATTGGGCCCGTCCTTCACTGACTGGTACACAAAGGCCCATGCCAGGCATAGATGTCCTCTCCCTGTTTTTCTAGCTGAGGAAAATTGAAGACTCAGGATGGGAAGGGGGCCCCTGGCTCAGGCACTTGCAGTTTGTGACCAGAGTGACCTCAGGCCTTGGTGGTGCCCCCACCCTATGGGTGGCTTCTGCCTGGCTGAGTCTGGGGTGGCAGAGGGAAGGTGAAGGGTGGCAGTCTGGTAGGGCAGGGAAGGAAACTGTTCCACTCCCATTCCTGAAAAGGTATGGCCAGCAGGTGACCTGAGGCCTTCAAAACCAGGCCTGCTATCACAGCCCTCTGAATGGAGGAGGGTGGTCCTGGGCAGAGCCTGGGGCCTGAGGTCAGAAGGCAGACACTGAGCAGCAAGCATGGGGGAGCCAGGCAGAGCTACTGGGATATCAGCATGGTGCCAGACCCAATGGAGTGTCCAAGGCCTCCTCTGTCCCTAGAGTGTCCAAGACCCCCTCTGTCCCTAGAGTGTCCAAGGCCCCCTCTTCCCTGAGAGTGTCCAAGACTCCCTCTGTCCCTAGAGTGTCCAAGTCCCCTTCTGTCCCTAGAGTGTCCAAGGCCCCCTCTTCCACTAGAGGGAATGGGACATTTGCTAATCTTCTGAGACATGTCAGGTGTCTCTGGGCTTGTGCCTCTTGTTCAATTCAGCCCTCACAGGGGTTGGGCTTTCCTGTGGGAGGAGCGTCTGAGGTTCTGATAGGGAGATAGCCTGCCCAGGTTCCATGCTTATTCTAGAGCTCAGCTGGCTGCTCCACCACCTGCAGGAGATGCCCCATGGCCACCTGCCCCAGGGCCTCTTGGACACAGGCTTTCCAAGGTGTCCAAGATTTGGAAATGCTCCAAGTGGGTCAGTGACCCTGGCATTGGGACAGGATGGCTTCTCCCCAATGACCTTTGGGGTGGGGAGAGTCCAGGTGCTCCAGTTCTCTTGGGTGTAGATTGCCTCTCCCTAACCCTGGATGTCCCTCAGTGCCCAGCACTTCACAAGCGAAGGGTGGTAAAACCTCTCTTTGAGCCCAAGCTCAGGGAAGAGAAGGAAAGCAGGGTGCCGGGTCTTAACGCTGCACACTAGGAAGACCACATATTAGCTTTTTCTCAAAATGAATCTATTGGGGCTGAGCCTCCAGCATCCAGGCTGGAGCTCACCCAGTGCAGCGAGAGGAGCACTTGTGTATCCATCGCTGCAAATCCGGCCCTGCCTGCAGCAGCCGCGCCCCAGTCCCTGGTCTCTTTGTAGCCTGCCCCTCCCCCAGCTCATTTGCAGAAGAGCCAAGTTCAGCCCTTCAGCGTTTGCTCCATCCCTGGATCCCGCTGGGGCCAGCCGAGAAGAGACGCACAGTTCCAGGGCGCTTTGGGTCCAGTTTTGGCAGATTGAGCAAATAAAAATCTAGGACGCCCAGTGAAATTTGAATTTCAGATGCACAATGCATAATTTTTTAGTGGAAGTATGTCCCGTGAAATGTTTTGGACATATTTCTACCTTTTAAAAAAGGATGTGTTGTTTACGTAAAATCCAGACTTTAGTCGGCCATCCTGGATTTCATCTGGAAGCCCTATTTCGGTCCTGAGTTGTCAACACGGTCAGTCCCTGCCCACAGGGATATTCTAGTCCAGGAGGAGTGAGAAGGCATGGAAGCTGAGAGCCACCTGTCCAGCCACTGTGGTTACAATGACACTGTATGTTGTGAGGCATACGGTATGTTGCTGGATGACTGCATGATGGTAGGGTCCTTGCCTGGTATTTAGGGGGGTCTAGGTAGGGGTTCTATCCAGAGAAGTTGGGGAGACCAGAATGGGTCCCTCTGCTATTTGGCCCATAATGGGCACCTCCCCAACTCCCACCAGCATGAACAGCAAACTTCTAGAACAAACAAGGGAGGGCAAGCACACTGGGCAGATGCCCCCACTCCCCTCCCCAGAGAACCTTCACCTGCCTACAGCGCCATTTCTTGGTTACCTTAAAAGATGAGCTGTGAGCCAGGGGCAGTGGCTCACACCTATAATCCCAGAACTTTGGGAGGCCGAGGCGGGTGGATCACGAGGTCAGGAGTTTGAGACCAGCCTGACCAACATGGTGAAACCTTGTCTCTATCTAAAAAAAAAAGATGAGCTGTGATGTTGAAGGCGAATTGGGTCAGGAGAGAACCTTGGGCACTCCTGGAAAAACCCCTAAGTAAACACAGGTTATTTCTTCACCAGGGAAGATTAAACACCCTGTGTCGGATCTGAATGTCTTCTAATGACTTCTGGCCCTGGAGCCTTAGTTTGACTGAGGGATGGACACGCAGTCATATTTGCCTCTGAAGAACTCTCCTGACCCCTCTCCCCGTCTCTAAAGCTTTCTGCCTTCTTCCCTCAGTTCCTGCTGAGGGGATTATATGTGGATCTGGGACCTCAGCCTCTCCAACTTTATCCTGGGTCCCTAGGAGTGGCATTGGGACAGGAGAGAGTTAGCCGAAAATTGGCAAACCTGCACCTGGACAAAACCAAATCCTCTTTCTTCTCCAAATAAGCATATTCTCTGGTTCTGTGTTCTGGTGGCTGCTCATCTGAGAAGGTGACTGCTGGGCGGAGGAAATACTACTGAAGGCTGTTATTCTTGGATACAAGTGTCTACTTCCTGTAGCCACCACGCCCCCAACTCCCCCCTCCTGCTCCTGTCTTCCCTCTGCAGTGCACGATAACTGTTAACATTGATTGAGCTTACTCTGTGCCACGCCCTTAAGGGGGATTATCTCATTTAATCCTCACAGCTACATGAGGTGGGGAACGTCACTGTCCCTCTCTCACAGGTGGCAGTATGGAGGCTTCAGTAACCTACCCAAGGTCAGTGAGGAACGAGGATTCAGAGCCAGCATTGTCTGCCTCCCAGGGTCCCGCTCCCAGGTTCCAGGGTTCTGTAGAGAACCCGCTCAGGCCCCATCCCCTCCCTGAGGTTGTCCTGGATTATTCCAGCCTTTACCAGGGCCTGCTTTGCTGAATTACTGATGTATTCACTGTTTACTGCCTCCCACCCCGCCCACTACTCATTGTCAATCAATTGCACATTGCACCACGCATGTATGCATGGGCCTGGATTCTCTAACTAGACAGAGCCTGGAGCTCCTGAAAGGAAATTGGTGTGTCTGGGGTGTCCTCTGCACTCTCAGCTTCTGCACAATTTTTAAATAGAAATCTCAGAATCCAATGCCTTGTAAGTGTCTGTATGGAACTGTGAGTGTGTTGTGAGAGACTGGAGCTGTCGGGCAGGGAAGCCAGTTTCTGCTCCGCAAACCATTGATATCACCCACAGAGCAAGGTCCCAGGGCTGCCCCCAGGAGCCCCAGCATTCAGGAGGCTCATCTCTCCGCAGCCCAGAAGCTGTTCTCTCTCTCCCACCTTGGGCAGAGCAGACATGTGCACGCTCAGCTGCTCTGGGGTCCTGCTGCCTCCTGGCTCGCCACCTGATCTATTTGTGAGGATTTTAGGAGACCCCTGGTAAT